CTCAATCCGGAAGCCGACATCTTCGCTTTTTGCAGCCCCACGCTCCTTCAATCAAAGCAGACCAGGACACAACAACTACGGAAGGAGCAAGAAGCCGAGGTGGACTCCGGCGAGCCGACGGAATCCACACAGCCGCCCAAGCGGCCAAGGCCAGAGCCGAACCCGCTGATTGCATCCCGCCAGTCAGCAGCCTCGAATCCTCGACGACAACAACGACCACCCAAGGGCCAGAGCCTCTCCGCGGAGGCCAGACTCATGGCAAAGCTGTTGATCTATCACGAGGACCAGCTGGCTGCCCAGCGGATGGACAAGGACTTCGTCCTCTTCATGAGGCAGGACTATGCCAGCATAATCCCCAACCTCCATGCCATTTCGGTGGAGTGGCATGCCAAGAAAGAGGAGGGAGTCGAGGGCCTCACCTCCTCGCTTCGCACTCTGCTGTTGGCGTGTTTGGTCAAGGAAATGCTTGCCCGGGTTCAGAAAATGGCCTCGACTCAGGAGGGACAAGAAAAACTCCAACGAACGAAGTGGATGGATCTCGACCAACAGTGGACCTTTCTACGATGGTGTCACAAAACAAAGAAGCTCGTGGTCGACGACAACAAGCCGAGCCTGAGCCACACGGAGCTGGTGCGACAGCTCACCTTCCTGCTCGAGAACCTTCGCGGCGACGTGATCCACAAGTTTCACAGCACCAAAGGCCTGGATCAGGTGGAAGAAAATGCATCCAACCTTCCATCCGTGACCTTTTTGCTGGGCATCTCCCTACGGGGAGAACGAGCTCACGAGATGCACGAGGTTCTGTGCAAGCTGCTGGGCTGTTCGGCCTGGCTGCTGATCGGAGTATCAATGAAGCGGGAAGGCCTTCAGCGAGCACCAGCGGCCAAGCAATTGGCCAAGATGCTCTACGGCAAGTAAGCGACGAGGCCATTGCGGCGCCACGGCTGCCAGGCGCCATTCCGCACGTGCATCGCCATGCTTGGCACATCCCTAACTTTAGCCTCCTTAACAGTGGTAATCATTGTTATGCTATCTCCTTCATGTACTCACTTGACATAGCCATGCATCGAGCTCACCAGAGTGAGCACTCTCCAGCTGTGCTGCAGTGTCTGCAAGGCTACCACCAAGTGAAAGTTTTTCATCATCTGGGGTTTTTGGCTTTGGGATGGCAGGAGCCTGAGAGACAACACGATGTGACAGAATTTATCGACTTCCTGCACCCCAAGCTATTCCCCAGGTCCTTCTTGGGGGCATGGCAAGGACGTAGTTTGGATGATGATGCAGTGATGCAGAGGACTGAGGACAATCCCTCTTCCCTCTGCATTGGCCTTGGCGCATTGCCTAAACATAACCCAGATGTGCAAAGCCTGATCAACCACTGGTATGCACAGGAGTTTCGGCAAGCACTGATGCAGAAAGCTCCATGGCTTTTCCTGCAGCTGCCACGCTTCAGGCTTGGCAGGTCGGATCGCAAAGGCCAAGCAGTGTTACGCATTGCCTGTCACTGTCAAGGTGCCAACCTTTCGTGACAACCATACCATGGCAGTTCAGTGGCAGCCCTGCTCAGTAGTAGCTCTCATCTGTCATCGTGGCGCCACCCCCTCATCAGGCCATTACTATGTGGTGACTCCGGGCCAGAGGGGATATCTTGCCCTTGACGACGACAAAAAGCCTGCTGATGTTGGGGCTGATAACCTTAAGCACGTCAGCAGAGACATGTATGTCATTGTGCTCGCTCTATCATCTGAAGCTTCCCATTCAGTAGCCGGAGGAGATGCTCAACATGATCTTCACAGTTCTAGCCAGCAAGAAGCAACAGCCCCTACAGCCAGCGGCCATGGCTTCCATCTGGTTGAGGTACATGGACCTCCACGGCGAGGAATGGATTGCCAGTCAGATTTACCTGCTGGAAGTGCATCTCCGTCAGATGTGCCAAGATATGGGAATTCTGCAGCAACGCCACAACAGCCTACAGTATCAGATCTCCCTTCTCATGCGCAACCAGCGCCACCTGGCACAGCAGCTCGCGTCGAAAAGCTCGCCCAACAAGTACAGACAAACCCCGCAGCTGATTGACTTGAACGAGTTGGATGACTGAATGGAGGGCCTTTATGAGTGAGTCAGACTATTCCGCAAAGTGTTCGTCTGTATCATTCGTGAGGAGCCACACATCCAGTGGGTGACATATCTTTTGCTGCAGATCGTTGCACAGTCCTGTACAGTACGATCCTGCCCCAAGCTCTTTTTTAGACCTGCCGAAGGGCATTAGTGCCAAGCCGTAGTTATCGGCCGATGCGGTACAAAGTACCCATTGTAGGCGCGCGCTGGACGAGGAACTCCCTTGCCGCGAAGGAAGAAAGATGATGATGCCGATGATGATGATGATGATGATGATGGTGATGGTGATGACGATGGCGATGATGGTCATGATGATGGTGATGGTGATGATGGTGATGGTGATGATGGTGATGGTGACGGTGATGATCGTGATGGTGATGATGGTGATGGATGGTGATGATGGTGATGAAGATGATGCTGATGCTGCTGATGATGATGATGATGATGCTGATGACGGTGATGGTGACGGTGATGGTGATGGTGGTGGTGTTGGTGATGATGACCATGATGACGAGGATGTTGATGATGGTGATGATGTTCATAGTAAAAATACTGGTGGCGGCAAGCATAGTGTCAATTCCTGCTTGGGTCAAGCTACCAGAAATAAGAGGATGCAAGATTGAGGAAGTTCAAGACCATCTACACCGAACATGCTACTGGCTACTGGGGATGTGCTGTCATCGATTGTCCAGCGATTGATGAGAAGACAAAGGACAGCACAAGCATGGTTCCGCCTGGTGACGCAGCTGACGGCGGTTGAAAAGCGCGAAAGCGGACAAAAGCGCACGCGGAGTTGCATTGTGTCACAGTATTGTTGCGGTGCCCAGCTTCGTACTTTGCATCAGCTGTCCCTCAATCCTGAAACCTTCTCAGCTCTCCACTTCTCAGACTTTTTCGGCTGGACTTTCATCTGCCGTGGCAGAATTGGGAGAGCGTGCAATAACAGCGCAAAAACGAGGGGGCAATTACAGCGCACAGGGGGGCAATAACAGCGCAAAAAGAAAGGGGCAGTTACAGCGCAAAAAGGAGGCAATTGCAGCGCAAATAGAGGCAAGAACAGGCGCATCACGCATTTCTTTTGCATCTCCGTGCGATTGGTCACACTCGCAGGCGGCGAACGATGGGCACCTGCATGAGCGACAGGGTCATTTCCAAACCAAGGCCCTCGGCCAACATGTTGCTTTACTTGAAGATCCCATGGCGCCATCGAGCCTGGTCTGCATCACACTTGCGCTTGCTTGAGCGACTCTCCGATGCAGCCTGTAGGGTGTTAATGATGATCATGGTCTTTGAGGCGAATGTGATGATTATGAGGAAAATGATGTTCATGATGCTAAGGACCAGGATAATAATTATTATTCTCACTCTTGACGAGCCTCCTCAAGAATGGCATTCCTGCGTGCCACTTGCTCATCCCAGCTTCGCGTGAATGCTGGGTCCCAGGTTGACCGGAAAGACATTGCCAACTGCATATCCTTCGCGAAGAGTGTGCCACGCTTCGTATGCCGTATGCCTTCTGATGGCATCTGACTCCTGGAAAACAGAGACCAAGGCAGCATCAGCTGCCACCAGCAAGAGGAGACCAGCTTCACCTGAGATCTTGACATCTGCATTTGTCTCGGAAGCAATTTCCCGACATGTTTCTTTGACAAGGCGAAGCCAGGATGCCTTTGAGCATTTCCAGATTTTCTGTTCTTGCTCTTCGGCAACATCAGGATCTGAATAGAAGCGCCACAAAGCATCTCGGCGAGCATTGGAGCTTCCACGGCCGCTCAGAGCCGTATCGGAGGCGACTTTGTTTTGCCACTCCTCCCGCTTAGCCTCGCTGGCATCGAGCGCACGCTTGCTGAAGGAACGACCCGGCTTCACGATCTGTTTCAGCATGCTTTCCGGAAGATTGCACGTCGCCTCCGTGCTTTCTTCCACATCCATTTCTTCTGCGAGCTCGCTCCTGAATGCTTTGAGCCATGCAGGAAGCAGAGGTTCCACCTGTAGCCACGCCTCTTCTGCCGACTTTCCAATCAGCGGGCATGCTTTCTCGAGCCCGTCTCGCACGGCTTTCCTCTGCAGCCTTTCGGTGAAACCTGTCGTTAAAAGCATTGCAGGAAAAACTGTAACCTCACTCCTAAACCTTTTCGAAACCCTGAGCCTGCAAGCTCCCCAGCACGAAGCGCCCATTTACCCACGAGTTCGATGCATTTTTTCGGCGGCAGGCGCCTGTGCATTCTGACACTGCAGGCGGCCATGCAAGACACTGCCGACCACAGGGTGGTGAACTCGTTCCTGTCTTCTGCGGATGCCTCTGTGGCCACAGCGAACGCTTCATCCACAACGTCCGCGTCGGGCAAACCTTCTTGACGCAAAAGCAGGATGCGCTGGAGAGCAGCTTCGTACATCCGGGGTGTGTAAGTCGCCGAAGAGAGGTTGTCCTCAAAAAGCTGCTTTCAGACGGTGGCCAAGAAAACCCAAAGCCTGCACCCGAAACCCTAGCACGCAGCCGAGCTCTCATGCTCCCTCACGAATGTGGATGCCGCGCTTGCATGAGCGGAGAATGGGCAGAAACCTCCCGAGTTGCTAAACTCGGACCAAAGCTGTCCTCTGCAGCCGATGGTTGCGAGGAAGTCTTCTTCGAAGTGTCCTGTCTGAAAACCGGAATCCGACAGCAAACTAAGACTTCAGGGAAAAACTGCGAAAGATCATGAAACCAGCATCTGTCCTCAGTAACCGGTTTCTGCAAGGTGGTCTTCGGGGATTCCTCGCAAAAACGACTTGAAGACAGATTCTTTTCAATAAAGCGTGCATCGCCTTCTTAACGGTCACGGCCGACTCTGCCGCTGCGGCCTCCCAGCAGTGGAAATCGAGTCTTTGCATGCCTGTCGTGACCAGGCCTGCTCCAACCGCGTGACAAGTTCACGTTTGTTGCCGGACTGCGGTAGCTTCAAAAGGTGAAGCTTGCTCCTCAGCTCCTTCACCTTCCATGATGTGGTGAACTCAATGCGGAAAGCATGCACGCAAATATACGCAAGCCAGAGCCGGCCGTCAGCCGCTGCAAGTCTTGCTGGCCGTTGCAATCA